ACAGAAACGTGGAGGACTCTTTATATTTTATGTGGGTCACACACAGTCATTTCCATTGCATCAAGCGCCTGAAGTTACAGACCTTGATAACCCATGACCTGTGCCTGTGATTGACCTGTATGCTGCAAATATACTCACTTTCTCACAGCAAAAGGGGGCAAAAAGTATTAAGTGTTAATGTGGAAACTTTTAATTAAAATAAAAGCCATTTTATATCTGAGATGCTCTCTACGCTGTTGGCCAGCGTTGGAATTGGAACATATGAGCCAGCAGAATCTCACTGGGGTCAGGGAGTTAGGATTTCYATTTCATAGTTGGCAACTGCCATTTCTCAGTTTCATATCAAGATGAATTCCAATTTTCCACAGCCTGTTTTCATAATTGGAAATACTACAGCATGAATCACTCCTTCTATTACTTGGTTGGCGCATCAAAATGTCATTATTAAATATTTAACATCTATTCCTGAGGTTTGGCACATTCTCTCTTTACAAAAAAAAAACCAACCAACCAAAAAACCGCTGTGTGTTGCATGGAAAACCCGCGTCAGGCTGCAACTGGACACGTGTTACGAGTGTTGGCCTCATATGGCAGCYGTCCATGCTTCTGAGCAGAACCTTGGTGTGGTGGGGAAGGTCCATGCGAAGATACTACTCAKGGGGAATGTTATCCAGGATCCTCCCTATCACTGAAGGTTTTCCATGCAGAAAGGGAAGCTCAGGAGTGGGGCGGAGGAAAGGAGTCGCTCGGTGCACTGGTGCCCTTAGTGCTGCTTGTTGTCCTTTGGGCTGGAGGAACCTGCAGAGGGGCTGTYGGGACCAGGCTTCTGCCCTGCCAGGTCCTGCTTCATACAGGTCACTTCTGCACTTTTGCACTGAGAGGGATCCTGTGTGCAGGGGCCAGTTGCAGATCTTTGGGAATGAGGCCCCTGGTTTGCTCCACATCCACAGGCCTTGCCCACAAACCGAGGAAACGAGAGCAATTGCACGAGCCCTGTGATACCTGCACATACTTTTCATTTAGGTGGCTTTCCCAGCACACTGTATTTACTGAAATACTGGGTTCTAACAAAACAACACAAGTTGCATATGGTAACATAATTGATTTGCTAAACACCAGTGTGTTTTATTTTTAAAGTGATATATTTTTTACACAAAGTAGTTTTTTTTTTTTTTTAAGAGTGGCTGTAAAGATTATGTATGCCAAGAAATTCAAGCAATTGCATGGTATAGGATAGATTTGATTCATATGTTTATATATTTAATGTTTCAACATATAGTATGGCATTGACAGTAATCCATTAGCGTGGTGGTGTGGGGAGTTTGAAACTGAAGTTCACTTGTTTGGCTTTGCTTTACGCACACAAGTAAAATACTCTGTTTTTGTAAGAACCATGACTAGATCATACCTAATGAGACATTTAAAATCTGTTTCTGGGCGCTAGTCACTGTTATTACTGCATTTGTTACAAAGCAGCAGTCAAGCCTTGGTCGGAGTCAACCTTCCTCATTCACTTGAGTTGTCAGTCAGTGGGTGCTACTACGCTGTAAACTGAGCAGGATTTGGCTCTGACATTCAAGCACAAGCTATTCATTCACAACAACCTCCTCCTGTTTCTGTCCCTTCCTGGAAGGCCGTAAATCTTTCTGGGCATTTTATTATACTTTCCCAAATGTCATCAGAATGTGCCAAATACAAGGCTAGAGTTTCTTAGGCYGCACAAGAATTCAGCAGTGGAAGTTTCCATATATTTACACCAAAATAGATGCAGGTGTTTAAATAGTGGATAGTGCTTATGTAAAGATGTAGAAACATCTGAGAAATGTTTCTGTGTGTTGGTTCAGCTGCGATTAATTTTTGTTTTGGGAAAATAATCCTGATCTTGAAATTGGAATGCTAGTTCGAAATCCTCCAGCTGCTGCAGTAGAACATTTCACTCAAGATGAAGGGTCAAAATTATGGGTTTAATCTGGTTCTGCTGAAGCCAGTGTTTAAATCCCTAATTATCTTCAACTGGAGCCAAGATCAAGGCTTCTTTTTTGGAGAAGACTATCTCGACCCTTCAGTGCTTAGTSTTTGATTTAAAGCACTGCCATTTGGTAAAGGTTTTTGTACTGTTTCAAGCTTGGAACCATTTAGCTGAAACTGAATTTAAAACATTTTCTGGATGCCTGTGTTTTGAGCCTGCTTGGGACTTGGCTATTATATTCTTAAATGCAGAATAATTTATTTGTTGCTGCTGTATCTCTAGGTTGTTTTCCTGCCATGTTTTTGGAAAACAAGAGCTGTTTGTGAAAAGATCCCTTTTCTAAATGTAGGTTGTGTGTGGATCAGAAAAAGGTTCCCTAATGCAATGAGGTGTGTCTGMGATAGAGTTGTAAAGGGCCTAAAGTGCTCGAAAAATAATGTTTTCGAGCACTTGAAATTGATTTTTTTTTTTTTTTTAAGGGAAAGCACTTACAAACAATCACATACTGGGTATGTTTCATAGCTTAGATGTTGACATCCAAGAAAGCATTTACAAGCATACTCTTTAATATGAGTAGAGTGACTCTAAAAGAGCAACTTCAGTGTTTCTGGAGGTTCACACATCTAAAGCAATAACTTTATGATAGGCTTTGTTTAAAATGACATTAAAAGCAGTTTAAATATTAGATTCTGTTTAGAAATTATATTTTTTACTACTCTTCCCCTCTCCCCCCCGCCCCTTCAGGGTTTTGCTGCAATAAAGGAGCAAGGCATTTTTAAGTATAGAAGAGTTTGGAACTCTTGTAAGAACTCCAGAAATCAGTAGAACATTAACCCTTGTTAAGGCTTGCAGTAATGTAATGAGTTGGGAATGATGTATATCCATGTCTGCAAGATCTGAAGTCCTTTACCTCAGGAGACAGTACATTTTTAGTGCCAGATTGAGGTGTTGACCGTGAAATAGTTGTTCCCCTTAGCTTACATTAATAATCTTATGATATGTCCCTGGGCAGAGTTTAGTTGGTCAAATTCAGATTTGAAATGGTAAATGATAACCCAAAAGGTACAGATCAAGTAATTGCAAGGTAGGTTACTTCTAGAAATATACTCTGGGGCCCTAAGCATGTATATTGCCATTAATGTGAAAGCTCTTTTCACTCCTTTCCCTCTGAGAGCTCAGTTTTGTCGCTCTCACAAACTTTCCCCAAGGTCCAAAATAGATGTGTGGGGTGTAAGGGTCGGCTATCAGCCATTCTTCTGATGCTTTCATCCTCTGGCTCTGCACCCGAGACTGCAAAACTCCATTTAGAGGTGACTCGGCCTTGCTTCAAGCAGCAGCAGCAGCTGTTGTTGTGCCTGTCACCTAGCCCTCCAAAGAAMTGGTTATCCTTTCCACACAATCCCTGAGGAGATTATTGTAAAGCCAAGGAAGTACCAGTTTCACATCCTGGTATTAAAAGTAGGGCTGATGCTGTTACCCACGGAAAACTTTTGCAATGCTTTGATTCTAGTAGAGACCCCAGGGTGGAGCAGAGTGAAGAGGGAGGTTCTTCCTCTCTACAGCTTCTTCTTAGGGATATTCCTGTAACCGAGGGACGCATTAACGTCTGTGCTGTGAGAGGGACTCACTTGCCCCATATGGCTTTTTCAGATCCTGTCCTCTGTTCTGTAGAGACAAACCACCTCTGCCGTACTTGGAGATCCTGTGATCTCCCGGGGATGGCAAGGCCGAGGTTTCCTGGGTGTCTGTGAAACTCTGGTTAGCACCCRAGGAAGCTGTACATGCAGCAATGGGAAAACTGACTCAATCTAAAAATACTCCCTGTTCTGTCTACCCAGAGTGCTACTGTCTTCCCGTTCTTTGTTAATACCTGGTGCTTTAAGTCATCTAAGGTCAACCTCCTAGCTTGTGTTTTCAGAAAGAAATCTCCAAGACTTTTTCAAAGCTGCAATTTCTGTATGATGCCCCTGCTGGGAAGCATGGTGGGAASTGGCCTCTCCGATGTGAAGGATTTTCCCTTTTTGCTTGTTGAAGATAGAGTACTCCTTACCTGCCAGTTCWGTCTGTCCCACGTGAGCACATTCGCCCTCTCTATAATGATGTGCAGAAGGCTATTTTTTGTCCTTCAAAACTTAGCATATTTGCCTTTGGGCTTCAAGCTAGAACTAATTTCAGAAAGGCAGTGGCTGGGCATCATTCTCACCAAAATTATGGGAAGCCTGAGTTTCCCTCTTATGTTATAGTTTGATCATATTTGTTATATTATCCTAGGAAGTGGAAGCGAACTAAAGAACCACAGAGCTATGTGTAAATACAAGCTGGTGAGTTTGATAGGGATCCTTTGARTCAGTGGACCCTCCAAAGCTTTCAGCCTTTCTAGGCAGTGTTGTCTTCCTTATGTAGCSTCTTCCATGTGAGGAACAGTAATTGTAGTAAGTGCTGGGGATGTGTTTTGTGCTCTCCTGTGGTCTTGTGGGAATTCAGTTGTTTGTATAGGCCCATGAGGGGGGAAAAATGCTAACAACTTTTTTCTGCATTCTGTAACTGGAGCAAAAAGCAAAGCAGAAGATGAAGGGCATTCAGACACTTAAGCCCTCCCACCATCTTCACTGTAGATGCCCAAGAAAACTCTCCAAGACAGAGCTGCCTGGGTGCTTGTATGGTAGCTAAGCTGGGGAGAGGTCAGAGGACAGGTGCTCTCTGTCACCAAGTTACTACTGATATGGAAGTTACTGCTTCTCCTTTCAGTGCTATGCTGTTTCAGATGTCTCGGCCTCTTCCTTTGATATCTTTGAATGTCTCACGTTCCTCTTTATCCTCAAGTTGATTAAAATCGGAGTCCTGTTCTTGCCTTATGAAATCAATACGTGAAATAGATATGTGGTTGCCATAGTTGGCTGGTGTCTTACAGGCACCTTGGATGAAGTGTCCTTCCCGAAGTAATGCAAAGGAGGAAGTAGCAACATGTTTAGGGAACACATCAAAAGAGTACATCCCATGGATGAAGGTGAGGTGAAAAAATAATGTCAGCATGGGAGAAGTGGTGATCTGTGCACCAAGTTGCTGTGGGAGGTAAGTGAGGTCACTTAACAGGATTAAGGTGGAAAGGAGTGGAATACAGGTATGGGATATTGACAACACTCTGGAGAGGTTTTATCTTAGTGGATTGAAAGAGGAGTCAGGGAAACCATTTGAGATGGGTGCAGGCAGTTCATCACGATAGAACAGGGTGGTAGGAAGGAGCAACATGAGGAAGAAGTTTGTAATTATTTCATTGACAAAAAGGGGAATGGAAGGGATGATGTGTGAAAGGAAACTTTTTCAGCTGAGAATGCCTCTTACCTGGCACTATCTGTTTAYTCACCTCTACTGTGTTCTAGGCCAGAATTGTATTTCCTTCAGTGTTTGGAAGGTTTGGGAGCATGGAGTAGGCTATTATTGTGTATACAATAACAGTCTGGATTTAAAGTAATAGAAATAGCTTTTCTGTCTGTAAAGATGCTTTCACCAAAACGCAGGATTCTCATACAGGTGAAAAGATCGTGCGAGTTTTTTCCTCTAGTAAATCATCATTGAGAATGTTTTCTGTTTATGATTTAGTTACTTGAGCCTTCGTCTGATGGAGAGTTATTTATCTTCCAGTTGGTACTTACAAACCCGAGATGCTCCAGAAGAAGAATGCTGTCTTGGTGGATGGAGTTGTCCTAAATGGTCCAATAACGGACTCAAAAGCAGGGGAGAAGTTTGTGGAAGAAGCCTGTAAGATTATAATGGAAGAAGTAATCCAGAAAGCTAATGATGTAACAGAGAAGGTAAAGTATTTGGTTTTGAAAATTTGTAACAAATATAAYGAGCAGAAAATCTTATTTTTCTAACCTGTATTTTTATTGCATTTTAAAAGGGATCGGAATTGCTTTTAGTGTGTGTCTGGGTCTGAAATGAAAAGATAACCTCTCATATCAACAAAGATCATTATAAACATCTAATAATGTAATTAGCATGCATATTTGCAAGAAAACGTAAAAAAAAATAAACCTCAAAGCACAGCAGTCACTTTGAGCTGACAAATGGATGCTTTTTTGTGTGTTTTGGTGATAGGGAGAAAGGCAATTTTTTTTGTGTGCTTTGTTCTTTATTCCTTAGGAGTAAAATGTTCTTGGGAAGGATGAGCAGTGGATGTGACACCCCTGTGGAAGGGCTGCTTCGTGAACTTCGTCTGGGCATCACGAAACCCCTGCTTAGGAATGTGTATCTGGAGAGGGGCTGAAATGAAGCCTGCTTCCCTAGGGGAGAGCACTGGTTCCTCCCAGCCCTTGGCAGAACAGCATCTGGGAATGCTGGGCCTTGAGCTAAGGATGAATTTGACTGCAGGGTCCTTGCTCCTAGCTATGATATACAAACCACGAAGACGATAGCCTGATTTTCAGGCTSTGAGGTGATTTCTGTTACCCCAGCATGCCAACAGGCACAGCTTCTCCTTCCAGCCCTCCCCAGCCCAGTTCAGACTCAGGGGCCAGGGCACGTTGCACTCCAGTGGCCAGTCGTCTGAAAACAGTGCTGACTGTGGGGYTTGGGTTGTTTTAACTCTCTTTGGGTACCTTTAACTCTCTTCCTTCTGGCTAAGTGATCATTGCTGATGTCTTCTCTCCATCATTAGGTGTGTGAGTGGCGGGCCCCTGAAACGCTAAAAACRATTCTTGATCTGGAAATGAGGGACACTGGAGAATCTCATCGGAAGCTCTTGCAACTCTGCCAAGATGTTATACAATACAGCGTCAAAACCAGTAGGAACCTGATTTCTAGTGATGTATTTTTGTTGCATGGTAATGTAAGAAGGTGGGATAATTTATACAAAGTTTTGTTACCTTTCAGGAAAACAGAGGTGTGAGTGTCACTTTTCTGCCTCTGTATACATGTATGCAAATGTTTGGTTGTGCTTCAACAGTTTGATTGAATGTTCATTACCAGAGATGGCTGTGATTGACTGTGTTTCTGTGATTACGTGTTTCAAAGCTAATTCCTATAGTGCTTAAACATTGACATTAAGGGTAGTTTCAGCCACTCTGAAGTCTTATGTAAGTTCTGTAGACAGGTACGAATATGTAGCAGTTTAGAAGAACCAACAGAAGGAGCACTGTGTGTGACTTGCTGCTGTCTGATTAGTGAGGAATAAAGTCACCATCAGTGCCTCCTTACTGGTGTAAGGGCAGTCTTAGCAGTGATTACTTTACATTTACTGTTGATCTCTATTGCACGTCTTGGAAGGCATTAGTTTGCTGATAGGCAGCAATTCCTGTTCCAGCCACTGCTAGAAAAGCATGCAGTGTTTCAGAGCCTGTACATGACATCCTTGCAAGATTAGCACTCTACAGCCAACCTTTCTGCAGTGTGTATTGTATAATCAGATCTTAGCAAAAAGAGATGAATAACAGCTGTTCAGGAAATAGTGTAGTGTGTGGGGATCAGGATTTCAGATGCATAGCCTGGGCTATGTTTTGGAAAGTGTGAAGGACCATTGATATAACTAGTGGCCCATTTCCTGGGTTTGTTCCCAGCCACAATCACTGTTGCTACAAAATAAAACTGTAAAATAATTTTGAGAGTAAATTAACACCTTTGAAAACTACTGAAAAGTAACATCACTAATCTAGTGCATTAATTTTATGCAGATATAGTRTTACTGAGTTACTGGAAGGTGTTCTTCTTTTGTAAATTGTCTTCAAATTTTCATTTCTTACATTGTGTCACCTTAGAAAGTGTATTAAAAATAAAAAATGTGCTTTGCATATAGTTTTTAATAAGTAGAAACATTTATGAAAGCCCCAGGTGTAGTACACGTTAAGTCATACAACYTACCACTTTCTGCACTTTCTGCATGTAGAAGTACCATGCTGTGGGTAAAAATTTAATTAATGACACTATTGCTGAACTGATTTTCTTTAGTAGTTGGTAGCAGACTAGAATTCTCTCATAGCTTATTCATGTTTCAAGATCATTAGGCACTTTCTATGAACTTTTCACGTGAAGTCTATAGCAAGGTTTTCAAAGCTCCTATACTGCATTGCTCTCAATATTCAGATGTTTTTTGGGATCACAGGCAGAATCACAGAGCACAGGTTTTGGCAGTTTCTATGTTCTGAAGAGGGGCAAAACCTGCCTGAATGCCTCTATAGACCAGAGTAAGAAGCTATTGTGTGTCCTCAGATGTTTTACAATAATTTATGAACAACCCACATTTATTCTGTGAACTAACATAATTTCTCCTTGTCTTGGGACCACAAAATTCTTTAATTTTACTTTCAAAAGTCTAACCTAATAAAAGGAAAGCAAGTCCAGAAAACACAGGGAATGGTGGAATGAATTACTGTGCCTTGCAGGCACCTCTGTTTAGCTGAGAGGGCTTCTGATATGTTCAGTTTCCATATATATTCTGTCAATGCTTACACTTTTCATGCTCATCTTTTCAGGTCATCCAAGATTTTTCAATCAACTCTATGCTGGAATGGATTATTACTCGTTAGTGGCTCGTTTCATTACAGAAGCGCTGAACCCAAGTGTGTAAGTGTGCTTCTTTGTCCTCTTGGGGAGGCATCAAGCATGCTTTTTGCGTGCTTTTTCCCCCTTCTCCTGATTTCTATTTTCAGTGTTATTGAGGAGGTAAGGGTTATGCAGTAATGAGAATGGTCTGAGGTGGCTGAATAGTTCACCAGAAACTTGGCAAAGCAGATGAAACCTTCTTTTCTAGTTCATGAGGTGGGTTTTAAGAGGAAAGATCTGTGTGTTTTTCTTGTTTTCTGTATTTATTTATTTTGTGTGTTGTGTATCTCTCTCTCTTCATCTCTCTCTCTCTCTCTCTCTTTTTTTTTTTTTAACTCTTTTAAATCTAGACCTTTTTCTAACTTGGTGAAAAAAATGAAATCATTAAACTTAATTAAATGCTCTTCTTTAAAAGCTTTCTGTGCAGAGTTGAGTGAAATGGTCACCTCTCTATAGTCTCCTTGCAGATACAAAGCCTAAACAAAAATATAACTGTTGCTTGCAATAGACTAATAAAACTGAAACTTAAGCATGTGACCTACATTAAAATCAAAGTCTTTCACTTCCACTGCCAAGGGAATACATCAGTGTGATACTTTTGGGAACTGAGCTTTACTGCATCATATTCATGGTATATTTAGTTTAGAGTTCTACTGTTGATGGTTGTCAACTTCTGATACATTAAAAAAAAGTGTAAAGAACCTCATTACATAATTTTATTAGCATTTTGTGGCAGAGGTTCTATAGTTTTAATACCAATCTTGATGCTTTTGTTTGTTCAGGTATACATATGAAGTGTCTCCTGTATTTCTGTTAGTGGAAGAAGCAGTCATCAAGAAAATGATTGAGTTCATAGGCTGGAAAGAAGGTGATGGCATATTTAATCCAGGTAAGCACCATTTGCATTTTCAACCTGATTTATAAACCATCAGTAATTCTATGAACACTTGGTTCCTGTAGGATATTTGAWAATGCATGCAAAATCCAATGCACAGATGAAACTCTTTCATCTGGGCTCTTGTCAAGTGTTTCTAGTAATAATTCTAAAAATCTGATCAGCAGCTGAGTGAAAACATGTCTACGCTGAAAATTAATTATGTGAAAATTAATTCTTTGCAACTGAAGCCCTTCCTGATCTTATTAACAATATTAGCAACAGCTTTATTGGACTGAGTCATTGACTGACAGACACAGATCTGATTTAAGTACCAGATGTCAAACAGTGGTGTGTGAGGAGTGTCTGTATCCTGTCTATCAGCAATAGATGTCAGAGTTTATCAAAGTGGGAGCACCAGGAGCTTTAACTCCTTTGAATGTACCTCTGTTTTAAAATGTTATGAATGTGCAAGCCAAGCAAATATTTGCTTCTTCTTCTTCAAAAAAAACAGCTTCTTTCTTTGTAGAAAGAAGCTATATTCTTTCTCTTTCTCTGGAAACTAGCACTTCCAGATTATTCCTATACCAAATTTTTAGCTTATATGTGAAGCTTTCCTGTCTAATTTTCCTATCTAATTCTGGTAGTCAAAAAAAAAACCAAAAACCAGAATCCCCTAGAAAGTTTTTSTGTTAAAACTTAAGACTGAATTATTTTTTTGACTCAGACATTGTGTATTTTCAGTGGACTCCTTGGACTTTGGTTTTACKGCACAATTGCTTAACTCAAGTTTGTCTGAATCCTGTCAGAAGATGAGCTTTTCATTGTGCTAGTTCTGTATAAGCTTTTTATTATTTTTCTTCTCTTAAGAGAGGGAAAAAAAMCTATTTGGGTCCTTTGGCTTCCCTTTATCCTGTAGAACTTTTTTTTTTATTTTTCCCCTTCTTCTCTGATTGACATTTTCTCTCCTTAATACTCGGCGATCTGGTTTCTCAAGACATTTCTTCTGCCCGTGAAGTGCAGCACAGTTGAGGTCAGCACAGGTGTTTGAGCTGCCCTTGCTCCAGTATAAATCTGGAGGAGCTGGGAAAGGTGCTTGCTGTCAGGGTGGACAGTTGGGTTGCAGTTCTTTCCTCTTTGGAAAGCATCCCCAAAGAGAGTTCAAACCCACTCTATTCTCATGCATGCTGCACAGCCTGAAGCWTTTATTATCTGCAGGCTTTTGTGGGTGAAGTAAACTATGAGGTGAAGTAAGCTCTGAGGGATGTATCTCTAGATTAATTCTGTGATTTATTTTATTGTTTTACTAAGCAGTTAGACATAGGATGGTGTCAGGAATGTAACTAACATGAAGTCTCTTTCTGCAGGTGGCTCTGTTTCTAATATTTATGCTATGAACTTAGCAAGATACAAATTTTGTCCTGAAATAAAGGAAAAGGGGCTTTCAGGATTGCCAAGACTGGTCCTGTTTGCTTCAGAAGAGGTAAAAACAAAACAGAAAAAACCCTTTTGTTTTCCTATTAGACCTTCTAACAATGAACTTCATGCATCCATGGAAAAACAATTTGACTGTGTATGTCATGGGGTTCAAGTACAATAAATCTGTCTTCTGTGAATGATATGAAGTTTTGCCTTATATCTGAATGCAGCTTGACTGGGATAGCAAACCAAACCCAACATTTGGGCAAAACCTCAAGGATCTTTAGACAGCTCTTTAAATAATTGAAAATATCCATGTAGTTTTAAAGTTTTAGAATAAAATCTATCCAAGCTGCTTAAGGTAAACAGTTTTTTTCTGCATTTCTTCAAGTTAATCTTTCTAGACACTGTTTTCTTTCACCTGTTTAAAGTTCTTTCAGCTTTAAGAGTTTATGATTGGATTAATACAGAGGTGGTGTTAGTTCTGACTCTACAATCTAAAGGTCCCAGTGGAGATCAGAATCTTATTGTACTAGGAAGTATATAGTTGCTAATGTAATGTTAGCTCTTAAATTTATGCCCTGAACAGTTTGCAGTGTAAATAGAAAGAGAAGCTTACTCTGATGGGGCCTGAGGGATATAACCATTGCATGAGTTGTCCAAGATAGCACATACATTTTTTTTGAACTGAATCCTGCTGTCCTAAAAGTGATATTTTTTTCCTTTTTCATGCAAAACAGTTTTTCTTTCTGAAAAGTGTGTATATGTAATGATTTGAAAATGCATGCTCAATCCATCAAGCTGTTTCATCTTCAAAAAAGTTAAGGGCAAAAATGAAATTGAAACATTCTAATACTTTTGAAATAACATTTTTTTTTATCATGAAATAGTGATACTTGAATTAGTTGCAAGGGTTAACTGAAAAAAAAATCAGGACAAAAATTTTATTTGCCCCTCAAAATGAATTTATTCTGGCATCTTTGCCAGAAGAATCAAACCCATAAAATATAGAATTGATGAGGAAAGATAAGCCAATAAATTACTTGTAAGGACAGTGCTTTTCATAGCAATATTTTGCTTGACTTTCTCAATACTTACTAGAGGCAGAAGCTGTACAGCAAGTGATTATGGAATACCAAAGACAAGAAGGTTTTGAAAGTTGTCTTGGAGCTCTAGGGAGCTTTATTTCCAGTTATGAGAAAGGGGATGCACAACTTCATGATTCTTATTTGAGATCCACTTGTACTGAGTCCAAATTATGTTACTTTTTAGAAGTTGGTTCTGATATATTATTGAGAATATATTTTAAAAACACCCTGCAGTAGAAATCAACACATAGTTCTCTTGTGACACTGTCTTCATATTTACTTCTAACTCAGGCTTCTTTTATTAAATATTTTACATTTCTTTATATTGAAGAAGTACCTGGAGGACAGAGACCTGCATTGCACTAGGCAGGCAACAATAAAAACATGGTCCTAAAAAAGTTGCATCTCATGTTTAGCTTCAAAGTGGATGAAGCAAACAGTGTTGGCATGAAGAAAGCATGAGGTTATAATCATCTGAAACTACTGATAAGGAAGTCAAAACACACTGGCTGCTCAAGGCCCTCATCTCATTTTAGGGCTTGTCTTCATCACTAGGTTTTGCATGAAATTAATTTTGCCTTGGTGTCAGCTCCCAAAAGTCCAGTCTGGCCCTTGACATAATACTGGTTCTTGCTCTGCAAGAACTGTTACCCTGCTGTAAGGAGGCAAGGTATGGAGGAGGAATGTATGGACAGGTCAATCACTTAACATACAAAAATAATACATGTCCCAGATTACCAAGTTCTTGGGTAAGACAGTGTTTAATGGGAACAACCCAAGGTCCTTGCATATTCTTTGGCCATCAGCCAAGAAAAGGCTCCTTGTTTGTCTGGTAATGAAACTGTAATTCGAATGCAAATAAAATGCCTAGTTACTTAAAATTATGGTGGTATACCGTGAAAACTTGGTTCTGCCCAGTAATTCTCTTGCTGGACCATTCCTGCATGATTCCCCTTGAGATAGAGGCAGTCATATTAGACAAATTATTGTACTTTGCTTTCCTGAAGCATGATTAGTGTTTCTCTAACACCTGAATACAGATGTAGTTGCARATGGCAACATGCCTTATCACCTTTGTCTCATCTGAACTTTATCTTGACCCAAGAATGTATCGCATTGATCTGAAAAGTATGAATTACTCGATCTGATAGAAATGAGGATAGAAAAGGCGGTGGAAACAATTGGGCAGTACGTGGTGGTGCTGAGCAGGTTTTTCTTAGGTGCAAAAAAAGTTGGATTTCTCCCCAGGGAAACTTGATCATGAAAGTAATAAAGTAGAAGAACACAATATTAAGYCGCCCTTGTCTCTATTTAAATTACAACAGGCAAAAGGAGTAATAAAGCARTCTCATGATAATGTAATTGCTCTGTGCAATCAGGTTTCTAGGAAACTTTTCAAAATCAAGAAAATGTATTTTTTATTTTAATGAGCACAGGGAAGATTACCTTGCCTTTTCAAGGCTGTTAGGAAAAGAAAACTGTCCAACTATAATTAATRTTACAGCAGCACACCTTAAATATGCTATTTCAATTTGATCTTGTGCTTAAAGGCACTCATTTTTCACTACAAATAATGTGTCCAAGTAAGCAAGTGCCATAAAGATATGGCAAGAGTAACTTGACCTCTTGATGTTAAAAATTATTACTTAAAAATATCTCTGTGATTGAGATGATCTTTATTTTTTCTCTTGGGGTATTCTGTCATTTCTTTTTTTTTTTTCCCCCTTTTTTAGAAAGGAACTATGAAGAAGTAAATTAATTGAAGCTCTGATTGGAGCTGCTGTATAGTCTCGAGTATATTTTTGGTTAGAATGGTGTAATTTAACATAACCGGGCTTTCAGTAAGGAAAGCAAAAAAAAAAAAAAAAAAGGAAATTCTTTTGTTTTCAATAAAATCAGAAGACGAGATTATTCATCAGCCTAGGCATGCTCCAAGTGGGTGTTGTCATGTAACTCTTATCCTCCTTCTGTCCTAGTGAGGACTTGAAAGTCTTTTCAAGGGGGACAGATGCACTCCTAAAGCTGCTAAGAAATGATGTGTCTTTCAACCTGTTTTGTTTGGTGTTCTGCTGCTGGAGAGCAGCTTTGCAGAGAAGGACCTGGAGGTCTTGATGGACTATAGAGTGACCATGAATCATCAAACTGCCTTTATGGCCAAGAAGGCTGTCAGTTCCCTAGGACACATTAACAGGAGCGTTGCCAGCAGGTCCTCCCTCTGCTCAGCCCTGGTGAGGCCACCTCTGGAGAGCTGTGTCCAGTTCTGGGCACCCCAGGACAAGAGGGACATGGAGCTACTGGAGAGAGCCCAGCACAGGGCTACAAAGGCCATCAGGGGACTGGGGCCTTTCTGCTGTGAAGAGAGGCTGAGAGAGCTAGGCCTATTCAACCTGAAAAAGGGAAGACTGAGAGGAGACCTTATCAGTGTGCATGTATATCTTATGGGAGGGTGTCAGGAGGATGGAGCCAGACTCTTTTCAATGRTGGCCATCAATAGGACAGGAGGTAACAGGAGGCCAAAAATTAAAGCACCTGAGTTTTTAGGGTGAGAGTGACAGAGCTCTAGGTGACCCTGCTTGTGCAAGCTCTCCAAAGGCCCCTTCTAAGCTTAATCATTTTTAAAATTTCTCTTCCTCCTTCTCCTTCTTGGTATCATCTCTTAAATGTTCAAGCCTCATTTGTCTTTCTCACATTTTCCTGTGCCATGTTTCATAATTAAAATGTATGATTTATTGCCTACTAGTGTACTTTTTTTGTTTTAATGCAAGTGATTCAATATAATATCTTTCATCTGAACTTAATGGTTAGAAATCAGTGCTGGAGGCTGCCTGCATTTTAAACTGTTCACATATCAGTGAAAATAATTTCCAAAATTAAACTGAACAAAACAGCCATTCTACCAACAATATTCTCACTTATTGATATAATTTGATTTAATGTAAGACTAATGACTCATCTATGTATGTTATTCTTGTAACAATCTGAATGAATGAGTCGTAAAGGCTTTGTGAATGTGTCATGTTAGAATATTAAGCATTCTTAAGAATGCTTGGTACTATCAGGTAGTATCTTTGTATGCATTTATTTAAGAAGTGGGTGATGGTGAGGAAAGCCTTTTCTTTAAAAAGAAAGAGCCCTTTGAGATGATCCATCTCATCAAAATAAGCGTGACAGGCTTGAATACCTGTAATATATTCATACCCACACATTAAAATATTGTACATTTTTCATAATTATGTTCCTCAGTAACTGCATTTGTGTGAATTCGCTGGAAGAAACTGAAATTAATTAACCACCTGGCTTCACCTTCTGTATGGAAAGAAACCATTCTAGATGTCTTCAAGGTTGCTGGAATATGAGTTATTTTAACCCTTCCATAATGATGGCGGATAGAACTCTTTTTCCTTGTGTATTTTTTTTCCCTCTTTTTGAAAAGAAGCAGTAACTCAGGCTTGGAAGAGCTTGGTTCTGAGGAAATCTGTGTAGACCTGTGAGGTGCTAAACACTGTCAGAACTGACACATTTAGCATCCCTTTGGGCAGGCATTGGGCCTAGAGACCCCATTATAGGCTTCTTCCACAAAACCCCTTTACTCTTTGCAAAGTGAGAAGTGAGTTGTGATATATGTAATCATTAAATGATGTTTCTGTGATCAGAACTAGCTAAAATTCTTTGCGAAAGTAGTAACTTTTTTTTGGAAAAAGCAGGCTGGCCTAAACTAGAGCATCTTACAAAATCATTATTGACTTAAAGCATTTCCAAGACRTGCTCTCAAGTCCTGTCTCAAGTCTGCTTGCTTTCATAGTGGCTTTTAAGCTCCAAATTCATGTGAGTGACCTTGGTATCTGAAAACTAAGGTATCRAAAGACCAAGTAAGTCCTTTTGCTGAGGGAGTAGTCGGAGAGCTTTGCAGGTCCCCATTCTGCTGCCTCTAAAGCTTGGGGCTTAAATCTCCTTGCCTGGTTGAGCTGAGTTGCTGGACCAGACCAGGGGACGGTTTAGCACTGTCTCAGCCAGTAGCCAACTGGCTGAGAAGAAGAAAAATGTAAGAAAGGGCAGAATGGGAAGAAAAAGTAGGCAATGGCAGCGGCAGAGGCTCTAGACTTGTCATTAGCCATCCCGTTAAGGGTCTCTTTTCCAGGAACATTCAGAGCTAGGGCTTGCATCCAGACTGAGTTTTGCAACTTAAACCTGTGTTTGACTAGTTTTTACCATTATTGATACTTTTAACTCAGTTCTATTAAAACAGTTTTCTGCAATGCAGCATTTCAATTTAGAAACCATGAAAATTTCTTTCTGGATGACATTTCAGAATTTCTGTTTTTCATTTTAATCTGAATGAACTTAAATATTACACTAGAATAGAGGTTTCTATTTTTAAAACTCCTATTTTAAATATGGTGCATGTCCACCTTTTTCTGTATTTTCCCTTTTTTTTTCAATGTGTCATTAATTGTTAGATACAAGATATCCTGGAGCATAGCTTTGTCAATTTGCTTTTTGTGCTAGGACRTGTTGTTGTTGTGACTATATTAAATTAACTCTGATGTCACTGTATTCTTTGCTAATGATTTTCTTCCCTTTTAATTAAGTACTTACTTTCTTTTCCATGTCTCTCTAATTTGCAGTGTCATTACTCCATGAAGAAGGCAGCCTCTTTCCTGGGTATTGGTACAGAAAATATTTACTTCATCAAAACAGATGAAAGGTAAGGAAGGAAAAGCCACGGCTGAGGTCTGAGCGCTTTAAAATGCAGTAGTGCTGTACATGAACAACCTATTTGAATGTAACTGAAAAGTTTTAAATCTGTGTCCCTTAGAGGTAAGATGATACCTGAGGAACTGGAGAAACAAGTTCAACGGGCCAGTAAAGAGGTGAGAGGGGGAGAGAGAGAGAAAGAGAGCATGAAAAAGAGGAGTGCATGCAGGTTGTGTGCTTGTCTGTGTGAAAGGAAAACTAAGAATGAGTGAAAGATTAAAAACAGGGAAGATAACATGCCAGTGTTTTTATGAGCGGATGCAGTCTGTTTGCCACAAGGTTGTGGAATAAGCTAAGGCATTCAGATGCTACTCTTTAGGGGAGTAAAATTCCACAGGGTGTTTGCAACTTAAAAAAAACCAAGTCCCAAGTACAGCACTGCGCTGAAGTATTTAGCACTCTTACGTATCTTGTGTTTCCTTTGCCTGTATTCCTTTTTTTAAAAACTTTTTTTATTTTATTTTATGGATACAGTATCTGTTTTCCCTTCCAAAGTAAATGAAAATTTTAGGATGTTTGGATGTCTTTTTTTTTTTTTTTTTTTTTTTAGTTATTGCAGTCATCATTGTTCTATCCTCTGCAGTCAGCAAGAGCTGTAAGATATGGCTTAGTCTCTAGATATGTTGTTATTGCAGTCATCATTGTTCTATCCTCTGCAGTCAGCAAGAGCTGTAAGATATGGCTTAGTCTCTAGATATGTTGTACATACCGTAAATGCTAAACTTGGCCCTATCTAGTGCTATAACAAAGTGCAGAGATTGTGTTCTATGCCTTTCTTTCCACAGGGACTTTGTCAATGAGAAAGTCACAGTATATGCATATTTCTGCAATGGTAATATATGTTTCTGTAGTCTGTTAGTTCATGTTATTGCAGCTAGAGTAACTACTAATATATGACAGGCCTCTTTATCTGGCAAACTCTTTTGCTTGCCCCTTTTTATACCATACATGGTGAGTGCAAGACAACATGTACTCCACTCATTTTGAGCAAACCAACAGGGAAAAGGGACTGACAGGCATTGCAGTGAGAGAAGATGGTTAATAGGGAAATGAGCTCTTTGTACTTGCAAGAACAGTTTTGTTTCCTGGTCTGATAAATTTAGAGCTTTTTAAATTTTTTTTTTTTTTTAATTTTTAGAAGAAAAAAATCCGGCTTTTATGATCTTGAAAGAAAAAAGTCTCTCTGCAGTCCAGTGTTGTTTAAAAACAAATGTTCAATGTTAAAATGCTYTGCTTAGAGAACTGTTACACTTGAAAATTTGAAATACATTCACTATTTTACTTGCCTTTAAGTGGTTTAAGTGGGAGTCATTGACAGATTGAAAGTTTCATTTCATCAAAGCTTCAATAAGTGGGTCTGTCCTTGGCAAACTGCAGACTTTATGGAAGGACATGTCAGTGAATTTCAGCAAATATTCTAATGACTCTTAGACAACAGAGGATGTATTCTCTAGTGACAGGAGCACAAAATTGTCATGGTCTATGAATATCAAGAGTCTTAGTCCTCTTTTTAGAGGATTTAGTCAAGAAGATTTATTTAACTATAATGGCCAGAAGAATAAAAATATAATTCCATTCTTCAGGAGGAAAAAAAAGTAATCTTTTGAATTTGTAAAAGTCCTGCACTTGTCCCTTTATTTAGTCGTGTTACCTGCTGGCTGCTGGGGGAGCTTTGTCTTTGTCATATAGCTGCAGAAACAAATTGGTGAGAACATTTATGGAAGCTGCTAAGTGCAGCAGATATCTGTGCCTCACTTGCAAGAGCTCTCTGCACTTGAGCTTGGGGCTGTTTTGCAAATGTTTGATTGACTTTTGTTCTGGGTTGTACTAGGAATGAATGACCAAGAAGGGAATTACCGGCTGGTAATTATTGTGGATCTATGGGACTCATTTAAATTTATTCCAAGGCTGCTTTTCACTGCTTTAGCAGTTTGTAAAGAAATCTTAAAGTTCAAGTAAATCTTATTTATGTACCCTTCTAACAGTCTCTGCACTGTTAAAGATGTATAAAACTGTCAGTGTAAATGTGAATTAAACCTATGTGTCCCTGCAGTAGATGACTTTTTTTCTTTCCTATTAAAGAGAGAGATTAGATTCCAGCCGAAGTGAAGTTGCCTTTCTGAAATGGCCTGAACATACAGCTTGATCTTTAGCTGATGCCCAGTTTCAGTGAAATTACACCACGTTACATCAGCATAGGCTTGCATCATATGACAGGTTTAATACCCTCCAGGGATTGCAGATTATGCAGTTTAGTAACAACTTTAATGCCTGTTCGCTAACTACATTGTCATCCTTGGGCTGGGCACTGCAACRCGCAGGGAAGTTATTTCAGCATGTCTTTACCAGCAAAGGAAGCCACACGGTCATTTCTGGGGCCAAGCCCCTCAATTTCATGAGGCTGATASAAACTGATCTGATCCTTCTCCAATTTCTGCCCGTCGATAGGCACAGGCACATACATTCACTGGGGTAGGTGAGAGCGAGCCCACCTGCCCCTGTCTGCTGTTGTTATGTGCCCTACTGGTGTTAGTGAAATGGAAAAGCAGTGACCAGAGTCACTGAAACCACAATGGGTGCCTGCTGATGTTGCTGCCTACAGCCTTTCCTATTCCTTTTTTTTTTTTTTTTTTTTTTTTCAGAAAGAGGGAGAAACAAGAATAGCAATTTTCTGTAGGCCAGGCATTGGGGTCTGGTAGGGATGACTGTCCCAGCTGTAGTACGTGCTGGTGCTGCCAAAGACAAATCCTATTCCCCAACTAAAGATCCTTGCTCACTAAACAGGCAAAAAAAAAATAGAGGTCTTGCAGAAGAAACACGGGCAGGAGCCCAAGAGGGATGAGTCCTTTCCCTCGCATGGGCAGCTTGCTGGCTGAACCAGGAGCTTTGCTTGTATTAGGCAGAAAGGCAGCAAATACAGTAGTAAGGTTTTGAAAAGATTGAGCAATGAAAATCAGTGTATAAAGTGAAATGTCAAATATCCAACACACTTTTATTTTGACAAAACTAACATCTGTCAAGCAGTCTGAAGCTGGTGAGGTCTGCCCTGTGATAGTGTTAGTGGGAAATGCTTGTCCTCTAAGTCACACTTTCCAACACAGCACCTCCCATATGAGGCTCTTGCCACTGAGAAACTAAGCTGTAGTTTGTAACATCTCTGTCCTGCTTTTTTAGACCTTGTTACACTTGAGCCCTCCAAATATATTGGAGGAAATGACTGTGCAAATGACAGTTCTTCTGTTTTGAATCCTTTTGCAGGGGTCAGCACCATTTCTTGTCTGTGCTACAGCAGGCACAACAGTGCTGGGAGCATTTGATCCTCTGGATGAAATAGCCGRTATCTGTGAAAAGCATGGTCTCTGGCTTCACGTTGATGTGAGTTTTTGTACACGGTACAGTTTATTTAGCATTGCTTTCATAAATCTGCTATCTTTCTCACTGTTGATACTTCTACATAGTAGCAAGTTGGGCTTTAATAATTTTTTTTATATAGGTAATAGAGATGCATTCTGATTTCTGTCCCATGTGTTGAAAAACAACAAATAACTTGTGTATGAAATGTAGTCAGGGTTATTTGGTATTCTCCAGTTGTATTTAAAAATGCATTTATATCAGTTTCCAATTTCTTTTGGCCACCTTCAAAAGCCACATCAAGAATGGTTACATACAAATAGAACTTTAGATTCGTTCCATATTTCAGAGAATGGAAACATTAGAATTGTAGTGTATGATCCATATGGGTTAAAATAAAGGTATGTTTTTGACTTATTTCTCCATAAATTATTCTGTTTCATATTTACAGGGTTGGCTCTCCTGTAGTTCCCCTGTGTTTTCCTAAGTTACTACAAATATTTTCTTCTTGCTTCTTTATTGCTTTAGTTTGGGGGATTTGATTCCATTCCAGAAACTACTTAGAATAATCATTGAGCCTTTGTAATTACCTCTTTGTAATTAAAGTAGTGCAAACCCAGTCATGCCTTGACTAAAGTCCATGGAATTGAACTTGGATTTGTATCAATAGAGCAATAGGGGAATCTGGAGCAGCATTAAGGGAGGTTTTTAGATCTCCTTTAAATTTTTAAAGTGTTTATTTAATGTTGATTATTTAGAAGAAATGACGTAGATAATGTGCATTTCAAATAGAAATGACTAAGGGAACTTCTGATTTGCATACAGAGTTTTTTTTCCCTTACTGATTTGGAGGAAAAAAGCTGCAGAATTCAGCCCTAGCATTTAAAGTGTCTGCAGAGCCTCCTGATGTATGTGGTCTTTTCAGCACAAGTGCAGCCTTCATGTCAGATGCTGGTGTCTAGCATGTCTATGCACAGCTAGGGGAAAGACAGGTGCATTGAGAAGCTGTGTTAGGTCTTAGGTGAGTTGAAAAGCCAGTGCTGTAGTCATCTCCCATGGATAGAGGAGAACTGGGAGCCCTTTCCTACCCTACTTGCTGTAGCAGAGCAACTAAAACCAGAGGGGCTGAGCCTGGGCTGTAGTCTGAACTTTGCCTTGTAGGCAGTTGCTAATGTTCTGCAAAGAGTTAGCTCATCCAGCCTCAGCCTTCTGTTAAACTAAGATTAAAAATGCAACTGACTCTTAAAAGTATACTGTTGGAACAGTGATTGTAGTCGTTAGGTATTAACTGATTCCCAGTAGGACAAATATATCCCATAAACCATCCCATAGACCTGGTCTATGGTCTAAAAGATGAGTTTTTCTATTAAAATGTGATTCATGTTATGAACCTTGGGTGATTCTTGGGAATTCTTTTAGATTTTTCCTTCCTTCTTTTCACTCTGTAGGAAAAGTTGAGTGGATGGCTGTTTCTTTTTGTTTGTTTTTCTTTAAAGCTTCTCACAAATATTTATATGAGAATTAAGGTAATGGAAATAAACTGGAAGCTTTCAGTGCTATTTTTGTTCAGCATAAGGTGTGTATGTATTTACATACCTATGCTAAAATGCTAAAATGAGCAGACTGTAACTCATAATGTGATAGAATGTGTGAAAAGGAACAGTGAGTATACAGGAATAAAACAGAGAGTTGTTGGGTTTCTTTTCTTCTTCTTTTTTTTTTTTTTTTTTTAAGCACCCTGTCTCCTTCTAGACTCATAGATATGAGAAATAATATTGAAAGCTTTGAGATTCTGCATTCATTTGAAAAGAAGCCAGGAATCTTTCCTGGTTTCATGTTGAATGATTTACATACATATTGTGCAATCTGATTTATTGMAAGTGAGTACTGCTTTTTTTGGTCTGCTGTAACTTTGAATTTCTTTTATCATTGTTATGGATCGTGATTTTATCTACTGTAAATGATCTCAAGAGCTGCTGATAAGGAGGACTTATATGCCAGTGTTTTTTTCTAGTCTTACACTGATGTAGCTAATTTCAGAATAGACTCCATTGCCAAAAATTTATGTTTGCTTTAGGGAAACTCCTCATTAAACCTGAAACAATAAAACTCATGATCCTTAGGAAGGGCAAAAGGGAGAACATCAACATAAAATTAGTGGCCTTTAGGAAGATAAACTTTGAAAAATAGCAGAAAAGTTCTCATCATGTGGATCTCATGTGGTTCTCTCATGAGAAGTTCATCATCTCTGTCATGCGGAGAGCAACTGAGATGGGTGAAAAAGGAAGTTAAGAAAAACGATTTAAAGATAGTTTGGGCTTAGACCCTTAGTATTATCCTAGCAGTCAAGCCATTGAACTGTCAGGACCACATGCAGGGACCATAACCACGCTCGTTTTGTGAATGTTGCAGTGCTATCACGCATGCCTRTAGGTTATTGTCATGTGTGGTGTATCTGCCATGCCCCTCTTGTTCTGCATCATCAACAAGCACTCAAGCTCCAGMCATTACATATCTCACACATGGTGTTCATGTGGCTTTAAATACCCAGCACGGGTATTTCCTCCCTGCTGGGCACTGGGAACTTGTGCACATGATTAGGCAAGAACAGAAAATCGGATTTGACCTATTAGCCTGGGCTTAGGTCGTTAGTTTAATCACATTGCAAAACCCTGTCAGCCACGTCATTCAGCTGTAAGCGATTTGTTACATACAAAACACAGTGTTTTCTCACAGGTAGCTACCAATTACACTGCAGGAGGGAAGGGCTGAAATATTAATCTTCTGGTGTTTTAAGTATAGCTCCCAACTAGATTTTGCATGAACAAAATGGATCAATCCCGATTAATCCAYCTACCTTCTTTCTCTAGCCTCATATATGGAGGAGAGGCAGTTAACTTGACTATGTCTTGGGAATATCTCAAGGAGAATTCTCATCAGAAAGCCAAGGCAGCCCTGCAGCTGTGRTAGTGAAAAATCTGGCTGGAAAATCAGGCTCAGAGTGGTTATCAGCAGTTTGTTACTGAAAGGGTAGTAGATGTTGAGCAGGATTCCACAAAGATCTATTCTAGGTTAAGTTCTGTCCAATATTTTCACTAGYAAGTTGGGTGAAAGAGTATGTTTATTATCTGAAGGTGACATGCAGATGATAAGAAACTGCAAGAGACAGTGGGAGGGCAGGATTAGAAATGAAAGTGATCTTGAAYATTTGGACGAGAGATTTGTTTAAAAAAAAGAAGCTGAGGTTCAATACGGATAGGGCTCTAAGTTTAAGCTGTAATGATCAGCTGAACAAACACAGGCTGGGAAATGCTGGCTAGGTAACAGATCTGCAGACAAAGATTGAGGGGGTTGTAATATATAACATAACAGCAGCATTTGCAGAGGGGAAACATCTTGAAGGACTGAATAAAGAAGTTAAATATATTAATTCTTTCCTTCTACTTTTAGCTCCATCCAGTTTACCAAGCCTGTGTCCAAATAAAACTTGAATTTCAAGAAGATTAAGGATCTCCAAGAGAAGGATTAGAGCAGAGCAGTGAGAATAAACAGAACCATGCTAGAATTCGTGACTAATGGGGGAAGACTGAAAGTACTCAAGTTACTTAGACTAGAAAAGACAAAGAGACAACATACARTAGCCTACAGATACTTAGAATCTGCTGCAAAGAGATAAGACATAATCTGTTTCCTATGACCACAGCAGCTATTGCAAGATATAGCAATGTTTAGGACTGACAATTTAAATCCATACCAAGAGTTGGTATTCTAAAACATGAGTGAAATGGCCAAGTTGTGCAGCCTCTGTTGCAAGAGGTCTTTACAAACACTAAACGAGTGAGTCTCAGTCATCTTGGATGCAAAAGTTTTCACTTTTGTTCATCCTCAGCCCTGGGTCCTTAAGGACCTGGTTTGTGGACAGGGCAAAGAAGCACAGAGCATAAATTCATCTCATGGCCTTGTGGGTGAAGGGAGGACAGAAAAGTGGTGAAGGTGAATGGACATGCATTATTATCATTCCTCTCCTCTAGATCTCCAAAAGTGCTGTTTTGACTTTACTGAATCGTAGAACGAGAAGCAGAAAATCAGGTTATAAATAGGAAGGCCAGTTTGGTTGTCCTCATGTAGCATGACTAACTGTGGAAACCCAGTTTCAAGTCCTGCCACAGGCAACTGTGCAGTTTGGGACAAATTTTGCTACCTCAGACTCCATCTGTAGAATGAGCAGCTCCTATTTTCTTGCCAAGAGTGTTTTGAGCATGGCAAAATAAAATATGATGGCTTGCTTATGTCCTGCATTAATGAGAAAGACATATTTCAAGACAAGKTATTAATCTTTCATTTCCCTTGTGAACCTGCACCGTTTCAGTCTCCCAGAGATCTTATTCCCATTGTATGGCCTGTGAAGCAAATAATGGTGCTAAATTTTAGATTAGCTCTTGCAGCTGTTTCTGTTACAGAAACAAGTAAAAATAAAAAAAAAACCAAGCATATGTTCTCCATACTGAGACTGGGAATCTTCACATTAGTGATTTCTCCTTTGTTCCACCAAAATAAATACATACTTTTAAAAATAGGATGAGTTTTACAGCGACTGATCACTCCTTTGCCTCTGAGGAGCCTTGTTTATATTACAGGGAACTTGTTTAAGTAGATTTTGCCTGCATGGCCACTAGAAATCCTTTTTTAATGTATTTTATAACAACTTACTCTCTTCTGTATTCTGTGACATGTCTGCTGTTTTTGTTGTTTATTTTTCCCTCTTGGCATATGCTGTTTCTGAGAACTAGAGATTCATTGCAGGTGGTGGGTAAAATCTGGGCCTTGCTGAATTCATGGATAAGCATCACCTTATATAACTTGAGTTGCCCAGGTAGTTAAACTTCTAATACACTGTGTTTGTCTGGGCTTCTCTGGAGAARAGACTGCAAAAGGAATTATCTAAATACAGGTGTCTAGAATAGATAAGATGATTCTTGAAAATGTATTTCTKTGAAGAGTAACTAAGTACAGAGAAGGCCACACACCTAGTTCTTGGGCAACCCAGGGTAGATGTGGTGAGTCTTATTCCATTTTGGCTTCGGTTGGATCGCTGCTGGCAGAAAAGCTGCTTTTGCCTACTTACTGACTTCAATTTTCATATCAAAACTCTATAGTACATTTGAGCCTGGACATTGAAATTGGCAGATGGTATCATTCGCCCTTCAATTTCCTGCGTGAATTTCTCACTAAGGAAGCTGCATGAGGAAGATTTGCAAAGCAGCATTTYCTGCTCTCACTGCCTAGGTTTAGGCTGGAGGAATGGAAGCTCTTCCTGTTCGCTGTGAGGAACATGTCTACACAGAATCCCTTCAATTCCTGTGCTTGCTTTCACAGGGAGGACAACAGAGTTTGAGACTCACTTAACGGCACAAAGCACCAGCTCCTCTATTAGGCATAGCTCTAGGAAGCTGCTTTTACTTCAATACGATTGTATTGATGAAACCGCAGGCAAATTTAGCCCACTGACTCAGTAGTAAACTAAGTTTAAATAGGGAAAAACATCTCCGGAAATCCTTAAGTGAAGCCTTATGAAACCACGCGAAGAACCACTTCATACAAATAATATTGTCTTGTCTCTGCACWCTTCCAACAGGCCTCTTGGGGTGGCTCAGCTTTGATATCAAAGAAGCATTGCAAGCTTCTTCATGGCATCCACAGGTAAGTCAGCTAAGTTAATGAGGACACTTACCAGGGAGCGAGGTGGAAAAAGCATGTATCCTAATGCCCTCCATGGGAGCTGCATTTTTGCAAATACCTATTATTTTTAATTGGAGAACTTGGGGGTTTGTGGAACTTAAAGGATTATGGAAAACAAATAGGGAAAACTGATATATCTTCTTGCAGGTATTTTTTGATCCTCTTTCACTCTCAATTACATGTACTGTCTCCCTTCCTCCTCCCTTCCCCTTCTCCTTTTATAAATTTCATAGGGCTGACTCTGTTGCCTGGAATCCCCACAAAATGCTCATGGCAGGAATCCAGTGCTGTGCTCTTCTGGTGAAAGACAACTCTGTAAGTCCTCATGTATGTGTGTGTTAACATAGTAGAGTTCATTATTGTAATGTGGTAGTGGAGATGATGGGAAAACACTTGCTAGTCACTTTTRCTACACTGCAGTGCAAAGACTGAATGATATGATATGTATTCTATGCATTCTATGATATATATTTTGGATTTCATCAAGAAGCTGATATAGGATGAGTAAGGGAGCAGAGCCAAATGATCCAAGTTACTAAACTCTCCAATAGTCAAAGTTTGTAGCTGATGCCTGTGATAGTTTCACTTCTGCACATGATTTGTATTCAGAAYGGAGTGTTTGCCACCTGGATCTGCAGCACCCAGACACTAGGGACATCAGGATCTCTAGAACAATCGTCGTCCTTTGGGACTTCAGCAGTCTGTCTTTTCTAAAAGAATGCCACTTAGTCAGAGTTACACGTTGTGTCTCCTTGCATGGGTGCACCGGAGTGGGAGAGGAGTCAGCACATGGAAAGAGGCTGGGAATGTGTGTCCCCTTTCAGAATATAGGGAGAGATAAGCCCTCTGTGCCATTAATTTGTTAACTTTTGGCTTTCAGTGTAGAGGTGCTGAGCTTCATTTTCTCCTCACTCTGCTGGTTTTTCCATCATTGCCAGGGTTATTTAGGTTTTGCAAAAGCCAAGACTAATTAAAAGATCTAGAAAGCAAACAGCAGAGCTCTGATTCTCAAGCGGCACAATGAGATGAGTCTGTGATGTGGAAAAAATCTCTGCCTATATTTTTGTCAAATTCTTTCTTAATAAAGAAATCAGTGAGAGATTAACTATTTAAAGCGCTGTATCAAACTCAGACCTGCTCTAATTTCATTGTATACCATCAGGAATGAGTTTTAGCTTATGTTTCACTGGTCAGGAATGACTCTGAACATCAGTGGGATATGGAGTCTGTGAAGACCCCACCACTGTTTTGTGGTTTATAAGTTGTTTTTTTAAATGTCTATCAAAGCAACTGATAGTTTCTATTTAGCTGCTAGTGGCTAGCTGTTTATGTAACTGTTACAACTCTTGGCCTTGAAAACTGTTGAGGATAAATAGCACAGATATTAACTACCCTTTTTTTCAGATGATAGTCCAAGTCATGGATGAGAGAAGGCAGGACAACAAGGGGAAATGTGCCTCTTCATTTCCTGGATTGCAAACTCCAAGACTATCCATGTACTCCAGCAAGAAGAATGAGTGCACATGCAAAAAAAMCCCACCACAACCATCAAAAATATGTAGTCCCTCAGTGGCAGGCTTGGGATGGCTTCAGTACTCTAACTAATCAAGTCCAGTATAGTCCAATATAGATACAGGCCCAGATAACGATTAGACTGCTTGAGCTGTATATTGCAAATTCCTCTTGAAGAAAGAGGAAGGAGATGGAGAAGGAAAAATACTCCCACTTCCTTGATAATCTAGAATCACTTTGCAAACACTGCTGCAGCCTTGGGGGTCTGGCAGCCTCTCTGTGTTCTCCTTCTGTGGAGTGGAGTGTCTATCCCATTCCTACATCTGATGCAGCGTTGGGCCACGAGTAACCGTAAAGCTGAATCCTGCGCACTTGAGGGGTGAAAGTTAAGTTGATAAGTCCTACTTATGAATCAAGCTCTAGCTCCCTTTAAGGGTTTAATGAAAGCTCTTTAAGGGCTTGGTGAGAGAAGGTTTGTTAGCTTGTTTTCCCATTAACTTGGGTTGTTTTGGAAACTGGGAGCTATCCGAGGATTAGGGTTAAGTGATTATAAGAGGGCAAATAACTCCCTTCAGTATATTTTTTCCTTAATTCTTTTAAGGCATAGACAGCTTAAGCCCAAACTGCATTTTACTCAATGTGTGGAAGGGCAAGCTCATGAAAGAATCACCRTGTTTCTGGTGAAGTGCTAATTGCTATTCATTAGCTAAAGTCCTAATGATGGAAAATTTGGTGTAATGTTTGTTTGTTCGTTTGTTTGTGGGTTTTTTTTGCCCTAGAGCATCAGTAAAGCTCTGTGACTTAGCAGTGTTTCTTCTTAAGACACTGCAGTTAGATTATTGGAATGAGATGTGTTTAAATATTTTCCTATCAGATAAAAATAAAGAGGATAGATTATAGTGAAATGCTGATAAGAGAATGTCTTCTAGCCTTAATAACATGAAATTGGAATGATTTCCAGGGATGATAGAGATGGAAATATGTGTTTGACCTTATTAGAATGGAGAAGCCTTTCCAGCAAAGGGAGATTCGATAGTCATCTGTAAAAGCTCAGATCAATGGCAATAGTTCTTCAGTGCCTGAAGAGCTGAACAAATGTGCAGCTAACTCTCTTTTGCTGCTGTGTGCTGTGTGACTTTCTGCCCTTCTATAATAGAATCCCCTTCCTCAGAACACAGAGGTGTCCTGAAAGGTTAGTTAGTGAGCTTTGTTCTTAAAATGCTATGAACCACATTTGAGTTGTCCATACTCCCTTAAGACTGAAATGCTACTCCAAATTGTGCTTGTTGGAATCTGTATAAACATAAGCATTATAACTGTATAAATAGAGGACTAATGCTAATCACCAATACTGAAGTTCTGTGACTTTTCAGTTCTTCAGTTGCACCATCAGGTAGGTAATTAGCAAGCCATTCTAGGTAATGAACAGAATTTGTACTTACTATTTAAAAGCTAAAAGAATGTAGTTAATGAAGTCCCACTTTAGCACAGAACATTATTGATGGAGATGATTGTGGTAGTCAGATCTACAGTTTAATTTCTTCCTCATCATTATCGGTATCACAAAGATATCTACTTCCCTGATTTCCTTCCAGAGCAGCTGCAGGAAATGAAGTGTTTGCCTTGCTTTCTGCTTGGGGTTAGTACAACTGGGAGCTTCTTCTCACCTCTTGAAGTGAATTGCAGGGATGGCCTTTTGTAGCAYGCTGCTTTTCAGAATTTTCAAGTATGCCCTTCAAAAGATTGTCCTTATTCCTTCAGATGGAGCAAATCAGGAAGATGTTTGTCTTGAGGTATGGGGGAGAACTGCTCATGGTTTGTTTACTCTCCACCCTTTCCACCAAAAAACTTTCTTATAACTAGTACAGGAAATGGAAAGAGATCAAAAGGCTTGCTGTAAATAAGTGTGTGTTCAATGAGAAAAACCTGTTTTGAATTATGTACAGTAAGAAATTGGAGCTTTTGTGTATTGATATCAATGTCACTAATTCTTCTTTTGTTTGCCATAAATTATAGCTCACAGCATTAAGAGTAGATCTAATCAAAGCCAAAGGCTCTTTGAACTTCATAGTGTCTCTTTGAACTTCCATAGTATATGGAAATAGGGTTTTTTTTCTTTTCTCTTAAACTTTGAGTCACAGTACAGGCACAGCATTATTTTAAGCCTGTAAGGCTRTGAGCCATAAAAAAGGCTGGAGGAAAACTCAAATTTGTCAATTTATCTAATGAAATTTTTGGAAATCTTCTGTACACATTAGTTACTGTAGGGAAACCATGGGCTACTTTTGTGGACTGTGAATACTCGGTTGGAAAGCATATTTTTTCTTTCTGTTTTTTCTACTTTTTCTTCATTTGACTAGTAAAACTCAGACTTCTTATGTCCTCACCATTTTTTAATCTATTACTTTTGAGACAGTGGCTATTAAGGAGCAACTCCCTCAGTGAAAACAAAATGCATCTTTTTTTTTCTTCCTCTGCTTTTTATCTCTTCTGCCCCAAGATCCTACAGCACAACTTCTTCCTTCCCTTCACTTGCTTCTTCATCTTGCTCCCTGGGTTTTGGTTTCATATTTCCTTTATAGCTGACAAACTCTGATGTTTTGTTTCTTTTCCTTCCAGTCCTAGTGAGGTACTGGAGGGTAAAACCCAGCAATGACTTTTCAGTTAGTGCTATAGGGCACTGCTGCAGCAGCACRGTATTGTTTTGATGATTGCACAGGGACATCAGCCACTGTCCCTCTTTTTCCCAAGGTATCACACAAATTCTCTTTTTACAAGGCTGAATGTCCTGGCCCTGTGGCTAGAGAGTTCAGATGGAATTTGCTGCCCTTTCTGCAGATATTTCAGTTGGACTGTCAACCCCCTGTATAAGTTGTGCAGAAGCCTTCTTCATGGTTTTGTTTTTCTCCTTTTGTACTCTACATGTAGCACACAGTACTTGTTTATTTGTTATGGATGGAGGGATTGAAGAATGAGGGAGATTGTTCTGTGTATGCTACGAGTTTATTTTTATCTTTTTGTGTGCGATTTTTTTTTAATTTATTTTTTCCTCTCTATATTTTATGGTCAATTCTAACATTATCAGTAGTGTATTGTAATGTAGCTCCTCTTATATATGTGTGTATATATATATATATATGTGTGTGTTCAAGAGTGACGTTAGCACTCTTGAAATGGCACTGGCTGTCATTTCAAAATCAAATTTGCAGAAGATGCAGAGAAATTGATAAAATATGAAATGTTGTTTTCAGATAGTTCAAGTAGAAGAATGAAGTTAAATCTGAAAAATGCCTTGTGTACTTTGAGATACCAGTTATTGACTTACCATGCTGCCCACTTCTGTTACTTGGACTACTCTGCACGGACGACTCCTTGGCACGCGACACATTTGCAAATGGGAATCTGAAATTGTAGCCATGTTCTTCAGGCTCTTTTTCTTTTCCAGTGGTAGACATTTTTTTTTCCTCACCTGTTTTTAACATCGCAAACAAATCCACAACTTTTCCTCTCTTTCAGGCTCCCTGTAGGGCCATCCTCATCTCTGTTCTTGTAACTTTTTGCCAGCCCTTTTCTGTACTTCAGAATATTAGAGTATGCTTGAGCATTTTATTCTTCAGCCAACAGCCTCTCTTCCTCCCCTGCACATTTAAACCCCTGCTTTCACTTTCCAGGATTTTTCTTCCCTGAAAGGTCAYTGTACTCACTCATTTTTGTTTGTTTTCTACTGGTTGTTTTTGCCTAGACCTGGGAATTAGAGCCTGCAAATTGCTGAATAAAAGTAACAAACAAACCATGATCAGGGTACAGTACCGTATAGTACCCTTTCCTAAGACTTATTTTAAATGCTGAAAATGCAACTGATAGACCAAAAGAGTAAAAGTAGGGTCCCCTTTTCCCTCTTTCCAAGCCATTTTATGTCTTGGAGCTGTTTCTCTGGTACTCACTCCTATGGCTTCTTGAGATCAGAGCCAAAATTATTCTTGAACCCCCAATTCTTTAGTAGCATTATGAACTAAATCTGGGTTTCATTTCAGTCGGTGCTTGAAACCCTGCAGAGTTCATTGAATCCAGGTTCATCCAGGGTTGTTAAGCAAYGTGGCAAGCTTTGAGCAGTCCTCTGCCCTGGTTCTGCTCTGGGTCTATTTTACTGAATAGCTGGTACAGACAAGAAAAAAATCCTTTCTCTTGGGAAACTGAAAAGATTTGAAAATGCATGTTAGGAGTCTAAGCCTTTTTTTTTGTGTGTGTGTGTTTCTGATAGGGGCTCCTGAAGAAGTGCTACTCCGCTCAGGCAGCCTACCTGTTCCAGCAAGACAAGTTCTACGACGTCAGCTATGACACGGGCGACAAGTCCATTCAGTGCAGCAGGCGCCCGGACGCGTTCAAGTTCTGGCTCATGTGGAAGGCACTGGGAACTGCAGGCCTTGAGGAAAGGGTAAACAGGGCCCTGGCCTTAGCTAGGTATGTCCTTGACATTTTCCATGTCCGTTCTGTTTAACTGACTACCTGAAGCATCAATGTGTCAATGCATTTCTAAGCAATGGCATTTCTTACCTTTGGAYAGACACAATTGTTGCATGTTTTTCTATTCTGTTTCTACAGCTTAAAAGAAGGAACTAAGCAATAATAGTGTTATCAAATCTGCTATCATCCCTATTAGTCATTACTGTTTATAGCAATAGGCATAAATGTTAGTACRAAATGAAGACTGAATTAGGCTGTCAGTATTTGTTACATTTAACATTTATGTTACCTGAAACAGAAATAGGATAGTGGTGACCAGTGCTCCCTTTTCTAATTTGTAACAGTGTATTTTAGCATTAATGTAGAAGCAGTTCCATGTGCCAGATCCTGAGCTGCTTCTAGGATGCAGCTCATTTTACTRTTGCAGAAATCAGCCGTATCAAGGTCACTGGTCAAGGTGGTTTGTATGAGAGCACAGTGATTGATGATCTTCTAGGACTGATATTTTCCTTGAATGTTAGGACTAGGTGGTAGACCTCTAAGCAGTAACAACATTGTCTTTTTACTTTTCCCTTCCCCTTAAGACTAAAATTAATTCTCAGTCATTATCTGATGARGTACATTCTTTACAGTGGCTGCATTGCTATCTTGAGGTTGCCTGAGCACAGGCATTTTGCAGCTGAGACATCAGGTTTGCTGGGCGCTGTGCCAGGCTCCTTGACTGCTTAACAGCTGTGCAGCTTTTCTCCTGATCTGTTAGAGTAGGTTTTACTCTGTTGCGCTGTTCAGCATTGCAGTGTTCCGGAACAAACCTGGATTGTTTCTGGGACTAGTCCACTGACTTTACAACTCGCTCTCAAGATCTTTTTCCACAGTTGGGCAGAGTTGCAAAAGTCTTAAGGTAATTGCAGTCATGTATTCTTTTGGAGAAAGCATTGCTTATTGGCTATTCCATTAATAAATTCCTGTTGTAGAGGTGAATCGTGGTTTCAGTAGGCTAGCTTAGATTAGATGGCTCAGGAATACTGTGATCATCTCTATTTGAAAAGTGTTATTTTCAAACTGACTTAAGTAGAGCATTCTGTGATCACTTTGGAAAGGTCTTTTTATATATGTGCGTACATATATATTTCCTTGTTGCAAGGAAGTTGACTACGAAGCAGACAAAGAAGGAAAAAATAGGATGTTTTTAGAGCATAGCTATAGCTGAGTTTGCATATCATGCTTCAATATCTTTGTGGGGTTTTTTTCTTGCCCAGTTTATCTTTTTAACACTCTCTCTTAACACTCTTAACACCTGTCTATGTTCAATGTAGATCCTCATTTTGTGCAAGCCGTAGTTGTTGCAAGTGCTACCACTTCTCTCCTCTGGACCTTAGCTGGCCCCTACTGAYATTCCATGAACCTGACATCATGATAAAACTCCACTGTCAACTGTGGAAAGATACACAAAGAAAATTGCCCCACTGCTATCAAATGGCCCTGGCAAGATAAATCATGGGTGATAGATTTTTCTAATGGTTGCTTTTTTAGGTCATTGGCAGTGTAGTTAAGGAAAAGATTAACAGCGGTGAGAGCTTGACTGACATTAGCTCTTCTATGTCAGATGATGTTTAGAAAAAAATACCTGGGGTTAGAAGGTGGGGTCTCATTCTAAAATAGGTTAAACCCTATTTAAGACGTTGAAGGGGAAAAAGAGATGCTTGTACTTAAGTCCCTAAAAAAAAWATATATTTTTTAATATGATGTATTAAAATATATTGAGACACACTGTCTCAGTGATGTGTTACGAACATACTAAAATATTGTGACACACTGTCTTATGAATAGCTTGCTGCTTGTGCTAGATACATTTTTCCTTTGTTGCAGACCAGTGCCTTAGCAGCAGGACCGAAGCACTGAGCCTGTGTTCCTTGAGACAGTCCTCCTATAAAAACAGCAGCCCTCCTTGCCTGCCTTCCCCGCCATCCAAAATACCTAGCTTCTCTCCCTCTCTATCTAGGTATAGCTACATCTACCTTATATTTGATAGCGAGCTTGTACTTACTCTTTCAGCCTAAGCCTTAGCATGGGCCTTAGCTTAGCCAGGCAACAAGCGTGCGCGGCAGGAGCAAGTCAGCGTGGGAAGGGCAGGGAAGGACCAGAGCTGTGGCTTGTTAGGGTGGGTGTTCTCTGCTTTCAGAAATGTTCACCAGCGAGGGTGTGGTTTACTGGCTCCCTAGACTACCTGTTTTTGCAGCAAGTCTGCTGAAGTATCAGGCTTTGCTGATACAGCTGTGCCAGTGGTTTCCCTAGGGTGGTGGTTTTCAGGCTTGTGGATAGGGCTGAGGGGGGTAGTTTTGATAGTATTTTTCTTTCTCTGTTACTGAATGAAAGAATTATATGTGCAATGGTCAGGAAAAGTAGCTGCAGGCAGCAAAGTACAGAATTAATCTAATAAAGAACCAGAATTGTTCACAATCAGTAGTTTAACCAGCTCTTACTAGTGTTGGACAGAAATCTCCATGGTATCATCTTATGTGAAAGAACAAAATTATGATGACTAATGGAAGTTCTCTATGAATTTGAGATAATTTCTTTCGAGTTCTCTTTGGGAAGGCTTTGGGAGGGAGAAAAGGGACTGAAGTCCTAGCCCTAACTCTGTCATAATGTCCTTTTTTCCTGTAATTCCTGAGTTACAGTGCCAGTGGCTAAGATGTAGTCGTCCTTTAAAAAATTCCTGTAACTGTTTGGATACAGAGTTTTGGTTCAAATCAATCCATTCATTGAAGATTTTTCATATTTGCAGGCAAAAGAAGAAAGAAATGGTTGTTTTAGAGCATTGCTATCATAGCAGTTATTGTACATCAGCAGTAAGTCGCTGAATGGAAATTTGTACTATTGTGTAAAATGCGGAAAAAGGACAGTACTGGAGAAGAAAATAGTCAGGAAGTTAATAAACAAATTTTGAAGTCAAACTGGGCCAAACTAGGGGAACCTGGTGGCCGCAGTAGGAATGTAAAAGCTGTCACAGTGGCCATGAAATCAGCAGGCAGGCAGCACAACATCTCCCTTCAAGAAAAGAGATTGAGGAATTAATTTGTAGAGAGCAACATCGGTGGAAAACTGCATCAGGGAAGCTCACAGCCTGCTCCAAATAGGGTCAATTTGTACCACATGGCTCCACTGAAGATCTGTGCCTGAGGACAGAATGTGGCCTCTCCTTAGTGCTCCTTGGCTGGCTGTAGTCTTTATTTGTTTTCAGAAGCTGATAGCTACTACTTTTTCCCAGCAGGTAGAAATGAGGTTAACTCTGTAGCACTTTTATTTTTTTTTTTAAATCTGTCTAGGTGTTCAAGAGCTGCTTTAGTTGTTGCTAGTGTGTGCCGTGGTGTTCTGTGTTGTAAAAACCTGCATTTGTAATTACAGGTATCTAGCAGAGGAGATTAAGAAGAGAGAGGGATTTCAGCTTCTATTGGAGGTAAGTGAAAACGGAACTTAAGTGGAGTTAAGTTTATGGCCACATTTGTGTGAGGTGTTTGCTTTTGACAAATATCAATTTATACGTGAATTTATACTTAATTAATAAGCTTTGTATAGAGCATGAGGCAGCACAGATGTGCTGGAATACGTAGTGTGCTCTGTATTCCAGCTGCATGAGCAGTCTACCCCCTTCTGCAGCTTCGGGCCTGCGTTGCCTCGGGATGTGCAGCCGGAGCGCTTTTCTACAGAAATCAATAGTTTGGTTAACAAAAAGCCTGTGCTTGCCAGACCTGTGGAAAAGACTGGATGCTAGATGGAGAAACAGTGAGATTATCATCACTAAAAATCCATGCTTTTCCTTTTATTTTTCTTCTTTCTCTCTCTTTAATTCTTTTTCTATCTCCATCTTCCCAAAGCTACAAAAAAAAGTTGTATTTTTCATCCATGTTTGCCTGATGACAGTCATATTCGGAGGAGAGTGAGTAAAAGAGGCAGCTCTATAGCTCTCTATTTCTCCTCCTATCCCTATATCCTTGGTTAGTGAGAACAATATGTGGGGACCTTGGAAAGACCTATAATTTTAGAGAAAAGCACCCAGAGGGAGGGGGAAGGGAGAGATAGAGTGTGGCTCATTGARAGCAACACAGCACAAATAGAGATGCAGATTTGATTTATACCTGCTGATGCAGCAGGGAGCTTTCCAGTTTAGGTTGGATGGCATGTAAAAATAAGGTTTCTCCTCAACTTTGAAAACTGCTTATTTGAAAATTTTATTTTGAAATCTTATTTGGGAAACTTTGCATGGGGTGAAGAATGCTGGGCAGCAACAGATGGTGCTGGGGAAGTGTTAGAGTTATCCCTTCTCCATTAACATAGAGCTCAGTAGAGAGGCTAGGCCTTTGGTAGATAAGAAAGATGCTGCAGAGAGCCAGGGTTCCTGTTTAGCTGCTGCAGGAACAGGAGTTGGGTTGGGAATGGGGCTGGAGGTATGAGCTCCTATGGGAAGGAGGCTGTGCAAGGGTTAGAGTTTTTCAGGAGTACAGGAGGACAAGAAATGGGAATTTTAAAGAATGCTAATAGGCAGTGAGGCCCATTTATGTGAGTACTTCCTGAAAAGAAGGTGGACTTTGGGCAGGAAGCTTGGGAAGATGATTCTCTGCTCCTTGCAGTCAGCAAAGCACTATAACAAGAGCCATTCTATGGCTTAGAAATGCTACTGGGTGCATGGATCAGCCTGAACTCCCCTSTGGTAATTACTTACCTGCTTGGATAAGAGCTGTGACAAAAGCACCAGAAACAGTGAAATGTAGCTAAGGGAAGTTAGTTTTTTCTAGAGTGAATAGTGTTTTCATGAGGGAATAACATATCTGATGTGTAAAAGGAAACTGAGATAATCAAGGAGGCGGTATGAGCAAAAGTTATGTAGTAGTATTAGCCATCTGTCTAGCCCTGTCATCTGATTTTAAACTATTTTAAGATAGACCATAACAGTCAGCTTGTGCTTGTGAGGAAATTGCTGCCTTTTCAGGCTCTGTGTTTATGTGTGCACTTGATGCACGCTCGGTGGGAAAAAGAAATGGGACTGCAAGAGCTGAGCCTTATTTCATTCTGTGGCAGCAGGTGGCAGGTCTGCAGTTCGTTTCCTGCTGACAACGACATTCTCCTTGATGATTAAATTGTGTTTAATGCATTCTTTGAAGTGAGGCAGAAAATGATATGAGCGGTTCCCAGTGCCCTTTCATGAAAGAACATGTCTCAGCTGGTGGGCTCTCCTCATTCAGGAGACTGCCTTAGTCTGTAATAGCAGCCCGTTCTCAGTAGGGCAGAGAGATGGTGTGACACAGCTGTCAAGCTCCCTTTTAGCTGCTTTTCCCCCCTCTCCCTTCAGCCCGGGCTAATGAGGATGGCGGGTGGGAGCAGAGAGGAGCGTGAGCGTTGACGGTCCCTGTTATGATCTAGACCCCAATTAAATACTGAGTGGTGAGCAACGTAGGTCTAGTTGAAGCGGGCAGGGCGTTTCTGCGGGTAGGATGGGGTGGATTTAGGACACGGCTCTACTCCTCACGGGTTTGCTATGTGTAAGAATGAAACAAAGCTTCTTCCAAATTTGCACAGCCTGCTCTTGTTTCCTGCTGTGGCCTCCTAGAAACACTTCTTCAAGCATCTATGAGACAGAAGCCTCATAGGAACAAATTCCTCCCCCTGTGCTGTCCCCCACATTTTCCTTTTTCCTTTTTTCTTTTCTTCTCTCTCCTTTTTTTTAAAATTTTTCCTTTAATGCATGAAAAACAACCGTTGTTATGACTCAGGCTTGCAGTTAACTCTCAGTCAAGTTTAAAGGCAAAATTTCCTTGGAAGGAAGCAGAGATGTCTCCTTTGGCTTTGCTCAAAAGATCTGCTCAGATACGTGGACAAGATGTATTGAAAATATGGCAAAGTGCCATGCCAAGGGCCTTGGGATCCTTATAAAACTTAGAAATGGAGACGGCCAGCATTAGCTCCAGCACTGTGAAATACATTGTACGTTGTATGACATRAAAGAAGATTGGCATTATTCAGTAGAAGAAGGCCTAGTGTGCATGTGTTAAATGGTGTCAAAAATCAGGAATTCCTAAGGTGTGTTTTGTGGAAAAAGCAGTGCAGGAAATATCCACTGAMAAGCAAAAGAAAATGCACTCTTCCCTTTATAGTTGCTTCAATTTTGAAACCTATCAGAGAAGTTCTCTATACCTCTCTTGCACTTTCTTTCCTAATCAAAAATTTTAGTGAGCAAAGCAGAGTTAAAGTATGTATAGAAGAGTAGAAAAGAAAAAGGAACCTCAACAGGTTTCCTTTTTTTCTGGCAGTAGGAAGAGAAGTGGACAATGTGAAAACTATTTCTGGTTTCAAAAAAAAAAAAAAAAAAAAAGGAAGGGGAACATTCAGTGAGATGGAAAGGAGACATTGATGGAGAAAAAAAAAAGATCTAAGTTCAAAGGCATCTTTTATTTTGAAAAATATGAACTGGAAAGCTTTTGACCACTTGTAATGTGTATTTCTATCCCATTTGTTATATTTCATAAGGAATCTCTTTTCTCTTGTTCAGCCGGAGTATGCGAACGTTTGCTTTTGGTACATTCCACCAAGCCTAAGAAAAATGGAGGAAGGACCTGAATTTTGGCAGAAGCTGCACCTGGTGAGTGCCACATCAGAAGCGTTATCTGTAGCTTGCTGATTTATCTGTGTGCCAGATAAGAATGTGAAATAGCTCCTGACCAGATAAGAATGTGAAATAGCTCCTGACTTTGCCCGCCATTAATCTATCAATAGAAGGCTGATTTAATCCTTAAATAGATGTTAGGAGGATTTTTGCATTTGTTCTCCATTTAGACAAGGCTAACTTTTTTTTTTTTTTTTAAAGTAAGAGATGTGGGCATTCGTCAGTGTTCAGCTTACTACCCAAGCTGTTAGCAGATGGCAGAACTAAGAGAAGATGAACGTTGTTGTCTAGACAGAGTATTTATTACCTGTTTCAGACACTTGACTTTGTCCTTGGGACTTGTCTTGCATTATCTGTAGGTAATGCAAGTGAGGAAATGCTTAAGAATACATTTCTGATGTTGAGTAGCCCAAACACGAAACAAAATGGGAAAAAAATAATTAATTTTGAACTTTTTGGTAGGTCTTTGTCATTCTGGTAGAAGATGATGAACTTCTTAAAATTTTTTTTTGAAATAACTTGCAGGGAATGAGTAGTGAAGATTTAATTATGAAAGCATTAGACACTATTATATATTGCTGAATAAGCTGTTCTGTGAGGAATTAATTTAAGTTCATTGTTTGCCCTTCTCTGAGCAGCTTCAGTGTTTTGCATTTGTATTTTTCCCTTTTATTAGTTATGAAAAACTTGAACACTGAGGTATGTACTGTAGACAGAACATGTATTCTTCCAGCCAAGTCTGGCTCTTCTAGGAGCTTTTATTTCACAAGAGTTGCCTTTAATTTAATGCTAGATACTGTTGTCTACTGAGGTGAGGACGTCTCTAACCCCAGTGTTTGTGTTGTTTTGGAAGAYGTGTTTAGCCTTTGCACTAGAAAGCCCTGCACAGCCACAGTGCAGACTGGGGGGATTTTCCTATGTTCCCAGAGCACTGGTGGGTTATGATCCTTTCAYGTGGGGCTTGGCTTCTCTTGTTGCAGTGGAGGGGCCATGCACAGCTACAGGCCTCTTTCTGTACATAGGAAGGGGTGAGACTTTGAAATGGGCAGTGGGAAGGTGTAGAAGACCTAAAGTTGTTACTGCCATGCCTGTGCTGGGGAGGTGTTTGAGGAAGAAAGGGATGAAGCACATGAAGTGCCTTTGGCACATGTGGTGTGTGTGAGAGAGGTATCTTCTAATGGGGGAGAGGGAGCAAGTTTGATACGTTTCTTGTTCTTGACTGCTTCACTCTGTCACACTGCTTCCAGTCAGYGTGGGGAATAAATGCTTAGCTTCAGTTTGTTTGCTGAAACAGATGGATGTACCCTGGAAATGTATGTCAATCTGTGTGCCTCTGGCAAAGCATTAAACCAAACCATAGTCTCCTTCTCCCTCAAACCCCAAACTAAACTCACAAAAGAGACCAAAACTTCCCCAGCCAAGCAACACACTGGCACAGATTTCTCAGTTTTGGGGGGCTAGAAAAGAGGAAACAGCTTGTGATGGCTGTTAGTTGCATTGCTGTAGGCGTTACTGGGGAGGTTGTTGGACAGAGGTGATGGAGATGAGCCTGCTGTAGAACGAGAGCAGTTCAGTAAAGCATTTCGCCTCCTGGGTGCTCTGCGGGGACAGAGCTGGGGTGCTTTACTTGGCTTTTGAGCGCCAATTTGGGGCACAACAAGGATCACTGAACACACACAATGACAGCAGGATCACCCAGGATAAAGCTGTGAGATTTTCTTTTGATTGATTTAGATTTTATTTTCTGGCCCCCCTCAGCTAATGTGGTTTTATTCTGTGTCCTAGTGTTGCTACTGTAAACAATTTAGTCTTTAAATTAATATTACATTAATCAGTACAAATATATAGCCCAGCAAGAAGGAATGCATCCTTACCAGCAAAGTGTAAGGGACAGGAGATTGAAGATGGGAGAGGCTGCAGCCCTCTGCCACTGACAGGCAGGTGGGGATGTATACAGTTGTGTCTGCCTGAATATTCCCTGAATATTCCCATTACTTCATGAAAATGAGCAGTAAAGTGCTTTAATTTACAATCTGTCTTTCCACAACGTTTTAACACCACACTTACTCTGTTTATTCAGAGATCAATCATCCGTTTTGTTGGCCTGCATATTTGACAATAATTAAGGGAAGATATGTCTCAAAAATCCCTTGAGCGAGTCATTGATTTTATTCAACTGCTTGTTCAGCCATATTGTTCAGAATAATATACTGTCTTCAAAGGTTAGTTGTGTGAGTTTTAGTGCTGGCGGAAGCTGTTTGCCAATAGCCCTAGTCTTGAGCCCTCAGCTTTGTAAGGAATTTGCATAGTCCTGCGTGCAATAACCATGCAGGTTTGCAGGTGTTCTGCTCTGCTGGCTCCTCTCCAGCTCCCGTGGCTGTATGTGGAGATGCATCCGGGCTGGCTGGATCCCAGAGATACATCCTGTTATCATTTCAGTCTCCTCTCCTAGATGTCCTGAATAAACTCTGGCTTTTAGGTTTTCGTGGGTATTTGTTTTGCGTTTTGATTTTGGAGCCTTCGTTTTAGGTATAGGATTTGCCCTTTTCATAGCCTCAAACACGCAAAATAGAAAGGTGATGGGAGAGTGTAATGTGGAGGATGTGGGACAGCCTGTGCTTGGGCCTTTGAGTCATCACCTGGACACTTGAGAACGACCAGCAACACGTGTTGTTGGGTGAGCGGGGAATTCTGCCTGTAACTACGGAGTTTTGTACTTTCCACTGCCTGCTTCAGCAGTTAGCTGCACAGGGAAGCTGCTTGCTGTGCAGTGCAGCAAGGGATTGCAGCTGGTCAGAGGCAGTCTGTGCCTTCAACCTGCTGCACTACTCTAAGTGCCTGCAAATGGAACAACCTGCGAAGGAAGCTGTGATTGAAAGCATCTTTTTGAGTGACATGCCTCGCCAAAAGCAAGGAGGGATTTCTTCCAGTGGAAGCCATACAAACAGCACATTCTGGTAAATGGGGAGCGGCTGTGACATTCCTCTGGAAATACCGAAGTGCTGCCGTTTTGTCATCGCCAAATCGGGGCAATAGCCTCTGATCTCGGACTGATGTGATTCCTGGGCTGAAGGAACAAGCTTTGGAATTGCTTTGCTAGTACTGCACGTGCCCCCTGGTGGTGTCTTTGCTTCTCTTCCTTTTGGAAATGCCATAAAGCTTGCAATGAATTTGCCTTGTTTTCTGCTGAGGATGACCAGTGTGTCACGGAGTTGCAATTTCCAGTTATACTTTCCTCGCTGCAAGCCACGTGTGCAAGTATGTGGTAAATATAGACATTTTAAACACAGCCCATTCCAGTTTTCCCATTTTAACAATAAAAACAAAGATCCATGCCTCCTCTTACTTGCAGCAATCTTCCTTGTAGAAGTTCAGAGGTGGAGGCTGCCTTTCTCGGTTGTGCTGGTGTGTTTCCAGCTGATGCAGAACACGCTGATTAGTACTAATTTTGTTGCTAAAAAGTCATCTGAAAACCCAGGATCTGCTAAGGAGCAAGGAAGGCTTTGGAGCATCCTGTTGCCAGCCCAGCCAGCCATGTCTTGCATGCTTGGGATCAGCCTGTAGTCTGCTCAACCTCACTGTGGTCTAGAGGACAAGGAAGCAGCCATGGAAGTAACAGTCTCCAACAGCCCCCTCATGCTGAGCCTTACGGAGCCTGGATTTGGCAAGAGATCTGGAGCGTAACTGTAGGTAGACTATGGCTTATCAAGTGTTGGTGCAGTGGAGAAGTACCAGTTCAGTTCACAAAACTGGGCTTAAATGATTTCGGTGRGTTCCTGATGGGTCCTTTAGGCTTTACTGGGCTTCGCTTGGCGTGTAGCTCTAAACATTATATGCGTGAGATTTCCGGTGGTTCAGTAAAGCTTTTATGCACAGCACTTAGTTTCAATTAGTCCTAATTCTAGCATATCAGTTTTAGACCTTTCATTTCTTTGCTTTCTGACCTTTTGTGAATTTAGGCCAAATACTGTGAAATGTTTTCTGTATTAGAAGGCTTGGGAGACAGAGTGTTTCACAAGCGTAAGGTGGTTATTCTCCACTGGCAAGTAATTTCATAATAAAGCCTGCGTAGCTGGGAATGTTATCCTCCCCCCTTAATAAACGGTAACCTTACCCCTGGTTTCCCTCCCCCTTGAAGAGAATATAGCTTTCTGCTAACTGAAGGCATATTTGTAAAATAGCCTGTCACGCTGACTCGTGTTATGATACATTTATATAATGAGAGGCTCTGTATCAAAGCAGAAATGTAAGGAGGCTGAAGCAGCGTTGCCTTGGCAACCTCTGATTCTTGTGGTCTTTGTGGCGTAAATCAAACCTTAATCAAGGACCCGCTTCCCTCTTCCTCCTGTATCCAAAATACCTGCTGACTGCAGGGGCAAGTCTGAGTGGGAGGGAGAACAGGACCTGCCATGGAGTGTGTTGATGGTGTTTGCCCTCTGTTCTGGAGCAGCTAGAGGAGAATGCTGTAGGCTGCCACCTCAGCACTAAATGTGGAGGAGCCGGGGCTTTGCATGAGGAAGGTCCCCAGAATGTCACTGCAAGTGAATTTCCACTTGGTATTTGTGTGCAAAATGTTGTCAGTTGAGTGCCCAACCTCCTTCTGTGCTATACTTCTTACTTTTCATATGCATTAAAATGTTATTTCATTTTTGTTGTATGTTTCAAGAGTAATATTAGAGATGTGATTCTGTGGCCTTTGAATTTTTTTGACAACAAATTAAACAAAGTTTTATTGTGTATGTTTAAAGAGTAGTATTAAAGAACTGATTCTGTGACCTTTGCTCACATGAGCAAGTTTTTACAAACAGCTTTACTGACTCTAGTATCTACCTCTGACAGGCATTTCTGTGGAGGGCTGCATCAAATGACAGGAGCATCAACAGTAGAGTTTGCACTGATGTATGTGGCAGTTAGATTGGCCGAATCGCCGTGACTGACATATCTGGAGCATCAGTCATTTGTGATTGCTGATGTTC